TGGTGTCGGGTGGGTTGGTCTAGGGTTGTGGTGAGGTCCAGGCATAGGCCAAGCAACTGTTTTGACGCAAGCCCGCACAATTTATTTCTTGTAGTTTCCAAGGATCAGGGGTCCTGAAAAGATTCGATTTTCAACCTGCTAACCCTCATTCGTAGATGCGAAACGACCCAGTTGAGCTCTTAAGAAAAATGCCTGAAGCTAAGTTGGGATGTCTCGAAATCATGCCAGCCCGTTCTGGGAAGTCAATGAGTGAAGGAGATCGAGAGGTTCCAGCGGCAGGACATCTTCACACCCACTGTGACGGCACCAAGCTGAGTCTTCAATGATGGAAGTTTTCAGTGAGGGGCTGAAGTAAGGGGCATTTTGTCAATCAGCCGGCTTCTGGAAGATCGGCCCAGCGCAACAAGGTGAACATTGAAGACTACCCAGTCGAGCTCAGCTGGGAGGAGGTCCCTCTACGCACTTGAAGTATCTTGAAGTGTGCAGTAGGCCAACAAGCCCACAAGCCCAGAAGGGCATTTCCCTCGATATGATACGATATCATATGATGGCGGCTGCAGGTAGTCTTTTGGATTTCTTTCGGGCTTTCTCTACGTTTGGTCCAGCCGATCAGTCATCCTCTTATAGCAGCTTTGATGGCCAACTGGAATAGCAGCCAGCTAGTAGCTGAAGGGTGTCAAAGGAGAGGCAAGCTGAACCATCAGCAGCCAGGACCCCAAACACACCAAACACCGCAGCTGAACTTCATCGCTTAACTTCTTGAACCTTGTGAGGTCCCTCAGATCAGGTATTTGCAGGAATCAGACTTGGTAGCCTGCTCCGAGGTTAATCTGGGTGTCCTTCTAGTAGCGAACAGCATCAGCCGCCCAATTTGTGAGAAGTCACACTGAAAAGCGGAATGTCCCCCCCGTCAAACCCTAGGCTGGGAACGCAAACGCTGAAACACAGTTTGTAGAGTGCCTGCATGTCCAAGGCTTGACCTAAAAGTACACGTGAATCTCGGTATCTTTTCAGAAACAGCGGCCATTGCATCCTTCCGTCTTTCCTGAAGCCAACATTTCAATCAAGCAGCAGGGCTCCACGGTGGACGTGGCGCGATCCCAAAAACTTGGCCGGACGCTGCAGGCAGCTTATTGCTCAGTTGCGAATCACGGGAGCCGAGAAGCAAGAAGCTTCAAGCTGTTTAAAGTGAAACATCATTTGATCGTCACAGTACAGCAGAAATCTGGTGGTGAGAGTGTCAGCTACCAGACGCAGGTGGCAATTCTACTAGTGATGATATATGCAGGAGGATCTGGGTTGATGAGGCCGCGTAGGACGTCAAGGTGGTTAGGTCTCAAATCGTTCTTCATACCATCTTCTGTAAAAGCTAAGCTTATGCTGCTGCGTATTCGGGAGGTGCCGCTTTATCATCGTGCCTTGTGCTCCTCTCTATAACTCACAGCGAGTCTAACGGCTGGATTGCAGCTGACATCCTCTTGGCACCTTGCTTATTGGAGGTATACTAGGAAAGGGCAAAAATTAGAACAAAGAGCCCGCCAGGCTGCAACTGCGGCTGCCTGGCATGCATTGCAGTGTGGCGTTTGGCACGCCTGGGATAGGTCTTCATATCTCCACATCCTGGCTGCCACTGCGTGGGAAGGCTTTTTTGAGGTCAAGAGTTGTTGTTCTCTCATGCTCCATAGTGCACTCCTTGTGGCGTGAGATTGAGCAATTTTCAATCGCTGAGGACCCCAGGCTTCTGAACATCGCTCCCTACGGCTTGACAAGTCTAGGTCCTGTTAAATCGAATGACTTGGAAGTATTGTCACTGTCGACGATCTCTGGAGACTGACGCTCAGGCTTTACAGCCAACAGCCTAGATCCTGAGTGTCAAAGCCGTAACCTCACGCAGTCAGAGCTGCTTTTATGCTTAGGAAGCAGATAAGCCCGAGGCATCATTGTTGGAGGTGACCTCCACCAGGACGGTGTTGACATTCCGCTTTGGACTGATGACAATTGACATTCCGAGCCTTGCTGTCAGCCCGGCGATCAAGGCCTTCGATTTCTCACTCCTTACACAATAAAGCCTAAGCGTGTAGCTGTAGGGCCTGAATATCCCATGTCCAGAACATGTGTTTGCACATACGTGGAATCACACATGTAGGTCTGTGTGCAGAGTGTAGCTATGCGAGGAAGCGCGCCCGTCGGCCAGTGGGACTCAACACAGTACAGCTTTTGAAGGTCTGGAGCTGAGCTCTGTGGATCTAGTCCTGGGACTACCGGGGTATGAACAATAATAGTAATGGTAATCATAAGGATAGCAGTAATTTTAGTAATAGTGCTAGTAATAGTGATGGTAATCCCAATAGAAAGAATAATAGGAATACAGATGCTCATGGTAGGGGATGGGCCTTGAGTATCGAGGAGGGCTGAGAAAGCTGAGCATCAGAAGTCAGTGAGCCATTGGGAGAAAATTGGCGATTGGAGGATGTCCTGCCTAGGTGTGGCTGCAGTTTGTCTGTGTACTGTGGACTGTATTTGTCGTGGTTTTATGAGCAACACCAGGTGCAACTGGGGTACAGGGACAGGTTTCCAGTGGCTGGTTCAAATTCATCAACCAGGACTGTAATTGGATATGAGTTCCAGGATGGATGTTCGCGGGCGGCAGGGTCCATTTGTCAGGCACGCTGCCGTGAAATCGAGTTCTGTTCAAGCCCCGTGCTGTTCGAGCAAAATGTTGACAAAGTCCGACATTGTTCCTTGTGTACGCCTTGTGCTGAGCAGGGCTCCTTAAACAAGTGTCGCTTTGCTTGGGAAATCTTCGTCTGGAGCTCCTATAGGTTTTGGTATGTTTTGGCCAACCTAGTGATGTTTACGGCACCTTGTAGTGCATCAGGTTGACCACACGCACAAGTCACTGTGCATATGAGGCTGCTTCGACCGGGCTGGGTATGTCTCCAGCGCAGTGCCTGGGGCTGGTTGATACAAATTGGATTCATGTACAGAAGGTAGGAACAGGCAGATAAGCCACTGACTAGTGACGCTTCAGTCGTCGCCGGCAACATAAAACATCTACTGTGCTGATTTTGCCCAAGCTTTCGAAGAAGCAGATTGAGCGACGACGCGCCTATGGTGCGGCATCATGCAAGTCAGCCATTTTTCTGCTGGAGGACGCGGACAAGCGGGGTTCCTTTGCCAAAGCAACTTACCGCCTGGTTGCTGTGCATCCCTTGATTCTTTAGCCAGAAGGTTCCGCAACGAGTCGCTTCCACAGGCTTTAAGCTTTGTTTGGTGCATATACTGCTTATCCAGGCATCAGCAGTCACCCTAGGCACCCTCCAACCCCAGGTCTGAAATGCTGGAAACGCCTGATCGATTTGGTAGCGGATTGCTTGTGACCTAGGCCTGGAGGGTTTCAGAACCCAATCCCTGCTAAAGAGCTGCAAACCATCAGACCAACTCCAAAAATGAACAACTGTATCTCTAGCTCATGAACCTTGAGCCCTGCAAGCCAGGTGCATGAAAATCGCTGAGGGCCTCTACTCCTCCGGCTATATCTCCTACCCCCGCACCGCTTCTCTGCGTATCTTCAGCCATGGCACTGAACAGCGAAGTGTAGCTTGGGTGAAGAACATCTGAACATTTGGACATATGACAAAGCTGACAGAGGCAAGCATTCCAAACCACTGCAAATCTCAACATGGCCGAGCCACAAGGTCGATTTGCGAAGGCTTGGAATGACACAGAGAGCAGAGCAGAAATGCATGGTTGGACTCAGAGTATGAATATCCCCCACACCCCCGAAGCCGAGCCCACCTGGCCTTCATACCATTGCGGCGGCTGCAATCCTTGTGTTCGAGGAGACTACGAAGTATTCAGAGACCTTCGACATCGTGGGGGCGCTGAGCGAGCAGGCCAACCACCCGTCCTGGGGACCCTCGGCACAGTTGCTACCAGCATACCGGGTCACTTAGCGACGGATTCTTAGAGCTCTGTTCTACATAGTATACAAGACAGTCCGGTCCAATAACGGACTGGTTGCTGCTGCTATGCTCTTGTAGCGACGGCGCAATTCCAAGCGGAACCGCGAGGAGCTGCGGGTCTTGAGCTGAAAAATGCAGGCAAGCAGAGGGTCAGCCTACCCAGGCCTAGATTCCAGTTCAAGTGGATCCCACTGCATCTGTTGGTTTTTGCCTGGGTTTGGGTCTGCACTGTAGCCCTTGTGCGACAGCTCGCGACGTTGGTAGGCTTTAAAAAATACCCTCCATGCATATCACGTCAGCATTTTCTGCAGGATGCATGAAGCCATCATGAAGTGCACAGTGGTCTAGCCACCAGTCCAGCCCAGCATGTGTTTGCAGACCAGGATGCAAAAGTCACATAAACAATTTGTGGTAACGATGCTCGCGTCACTGGAGGGGAAATTTTGAATGTGCACGCCAAGGGAAGACGGTGAGCTACCTCCTCCGGCAGGGCTCCATCCGATCTCCCGTGGCTGGTACAGACAAAGGCCTTCCAAGTAGGTTTAGGGCCTTTTCGGGTTTCAGGTCTCAGGGTTTAGGGGCCAAGCTTTTCAAATTCGCGGCTCAGCTCTCGTGGTGTGTCTTATGTTGTCATACTGGCCTATGCGCTTCATATAGCATTCTTTCAAGCCTGCTTATCAGCAGCAGCCCCTTGTCTTCTTGAGCCCTTGTACTAGTGGGACTTCAAATAAGGCTCAGGTATCCCTAACAGCATTGGAAACTGGTCCGAAACCCGCTCCGACCTGTTCGAGGCTAACTTGGGCAGAAGACCCCAAAGCTAACGGGGAAGAACTGTAAGTCGAGGGTGTCATCATCTTTCCACAAAGCGTGTAGATGCACGCCAGGCAACAGCCCATGATGCCAGAGCCCTGCAGCGCAACCACGCATACAGCAACCACCACTAAAATACATCCAGAGCATGGATTCTGACGATTTGCTGGGGGTTAAGGAACCGGAGCCCTAAAGTATGCAGGTGACCACCCCCCTATCACGCCGATGCGTGCAGCGCCGAAGGACAACGCGGGCAATTTTCTTGAAACATGCCTTTTCAGACCTTTTGGTTTGCACAGGAGTACAACAGGCAAGGGTGGTCAGTTTTAGTTTAGCCGGGGTTCTTGTGGTTTTTGTTTGAATGAACCTCTCGGATGTTGAGGAACCGGTTTCGTACATGTAGCTAGCAGGAAAGCCTCACGAATTCGGATTGACTCAGGATGCCAAGTTTGGGAGCGTTGTGCAGGAAGCGTAGAATTTTACCTGCAAAACTCCGCCATCTGACACCTAAACCGATAGCGACTCCTTCGCCCTGAGGACGAGTTTAGCAAGGGCAAGGAGTGGCGTCTCTACGACTATGTCACGCGGCACTTCATCGCCTCTCTTATGGATGATGCTGAGTACGATGAGATTCTGGCCAGCAAGAGGTCCTCGCTAAGTTTGCAGCGCTGTTAGTCTACGGCTTTTGGCTTCAACTTGAAGGAACTGGGATTGGGCATAATGCCTGTTTCGACGGAACCGGGTTAAGGCATGGGCATATTTGCAATCAAAACAACGGTGACATGGATAATTTCATAAACGACAGCCCGCGACAACCTTTGCACAATTCTAGCTAACATCTCTCAATCAAGCCGTTCGTCCAAGGCAGTATGATAGGCTAATCGTCTGCTTTTGACAATCCACTCTTTGTGAAGCTTAGGATACGCTATGTCTTCGATGTCTGCGGCGAGAGGTTCGTGTTCATTTACCATGAGGCGCTGCCATGTTGCTGAGTAGTTTGTCAGGGTTACACCAGGATTCTTGAACAGCAATAGACCTTGTTTGTATCCTCCCCTCCCCCCCGCCCTCGCCCCCTCCCCTCTCCCCTCCCCTCTCCCCCCCGTCTCCACGATGTATGATTTAGCTTTCGCCGGGTCCAAGCTTGGCCAGGGCTCCAAGGATTGCCCTTTGGACTTTCTGGGGGTTCCTTTGACACAGACAACCAAATAGGGTTTAGGGTTTGAGGACTGCAGCTTACTGGTGGTTCGAAGGGAATGTGGGGATAACATCTTATATGATTCCTATATAATATAATGTTTCTGAATGTGGTGCTGCGGGAAATTCTTCGCTGTCTCCTTAGAACTGCTCTCAAGCTTTTGGCTGGAGAAAGAAAAAGATTTGCTCCAGGTGGCGGAACGGGGCTTCCTGTATGCCATGCCCTGGAAGGCCAAGGACTTGTAACTCGCTGGCACTTGGGCTCGCTGTGTGGTTACAAGCCTTGCAAAGGGACGCTAAGATTAGGGTTTCCTCATTTACAAATCCAGGAGGCAGTCCTGAATTTTGGACCAACGCTTTAGCGCTTCCGAGCACAATTCATTGGAATTACAGGTTTATAATCAGCATGGGATTGTGCCTGCAGGCAGACTGGGCATACCGCAACTAGCGGTCCTTTTTCTTCATTCAGGTCCAGCATTAATTTATGGAAGTTTCGCGAAGCTTCTACCGAGAGAACGCTATGCCCGAGGAAGCTGGAGGAGATCGACTGGGCGATGCCAGTAGCTGGGCTTTTATCCCAAGTAGTAGCGCAACACATGGTTTGAAGGGTGTTGGTATTTCTTTTCTTCTGGGAGTATGAAGGAGGATTTATTAGGAGTCTTTCACGCTTCCACGGTCCAGCAGTCTGGCTTCAAGAGTGGGGCCCCTCAACGTGTCTCACCCTTTAAAGTATCCTAGCTATGATGGCATACAGGTGAGTGGCATGCCAGCTGTCACGCTTTGCTTGTTCTGATTTGTTGTTTCAGGCGTGTTAAGACAGATACACATGTGTGACCTGTACTCATGGTGCTGTGTCGTTGTGCATGAAACTCTTGATCTCGTGTGTACGTGAATACACCCACATGCGTCCTGGCCCATCGCGTTTTGACAGTGGCATCTGCTATTACATTAATTACAGTAGAAGCAATCTTAGAACATCTTTGTTGCAGACCGTGTAGGCCACATCTGTCACATTTTACAAGCTATTTGTGGCACTGTTGTCTTGTAAAGGTGTTTACCCAACATGCTGTATACAATGATCTGGCCCAAGCAAGAGATCCACCAGCAGTTCCTAGGACATGGCAGAGGGCGACCAGCTGCCCGTTGATGAGATCTCTGTGGTCCGCGACACCACGAAGCCGCCAGATTACCTGCCGCCTGGATCGCCATGAGTTTCGTATCAAGATCAGGGCTGTGGCAGGCGTAGCCCTCCAGTGTGTACAGAAGTTGGATCCTATTCTCTTGTTCCGGTCGCAAGGAAGTTTCAACGCATTGTAAAGGTCTTACTCGGAATTTAGATGTACGCCTTGTGTGCATGCATGGTCAGCGGGGCAGTATGCACCAAAGCCCGGAACATCCAAGAACAGGGCTCCCTCAAAATTGCATGAATGGCATTGAGACAAGCGCGGTAGAAGTGTGGCGCGTCTTCGTTTTGCCTACAGGAGGGAAAGCGAGCTGGTGGCCCTGATGGATAAGAATGGCATCGGTACGGATGCATCAATCCCACAGCACATGCAGAGCCTTGGAATGCAATGACCTCATCGTTATGGGTAGAGTTTAGCTAGCCAGATGAAACTGCATATGTGTGCTTGCCGGGGAAGTATCCAAAGCGAGACAGCTTTCGGACTTAGGATTGCCGGAGATTCTTTCTGTCATCCCCAACTGAACACATCAGACCCCCGTAACCCTAATTCCTAGACCCCAGGCCCTAAGCTCTGATTACAAGTGCTCTAAACCTAAACCCAAATGACGAAACAAATAATTGCAACCCCCCAAACCCTAGCCCGCAGCAGGAATGTCGTGGACCGGCACTACGTCATGATTTGCGGGCCTGGTGAGGATGGCCAGCGAGGATTGGAAAAGAATGGTGAGTGTTTCGCAAAAGTGCTACACTGTGATGTTTTCTTCAGGTTGTTGCAGTTGCAGGATCCTATTGACTGCTTCATGAAAAATACGAAGAGCCTAGATCAAAACATGCGTATTGCATGTACGTATGGTCGATCGCGGAGAGATTGCCTTCGTGCCAGGCGAAGTCATCTCCAAGGGAGGGAAGGGCAAGGGACGCAAAGGCGCGCAGGGAGCCTGCTTGAATGTCATTGGTGCAGCTTACCTAGGTACTGCTTCATGTGGGGTTGTCGCATGGGTCTCCAAACCAAACACATCTGCTATCTGCCCTACATGCTGCATCTTTCGGAACTTAGAAAAGACACCGGCTCCAAACGCGCACCCCTAAAGCCCAGTGATCTCGCGCAGGCAAGGGCAAGGGCAAAGGCGCCAAAGGTGAGGACGGCCGGCCGGCTTCAAGGCAGGTTCGGGGGATGCGATGACAGAAGCACTTTGGGGTAATAGTCGCGAAAGGGTTTAAGGCTAGGTGGTTGTCAGACAAGGTATGGTGTGCCATCAGGGAGTCTTCCAGAAAGGATCCAACTGGCTCCCAAGTTCGAATGCGCAAAAGGCGGCAATGATCTCGACAGCGCAACTCCTGTAAGGATAAGGAAGAGGGCGCGCTTGAATCATGGTAGAGCTACACTTGCAATTGCAGCAAGAGGTTTACGGTAGTGGTGCTATAAGGCACAGCCAACGCAACAAGTACGTGATGCGGGCGAGCTCGCCCACGTCAGCCACAGACAGTGCCAATTGGCCACAGGTGGATGTGCTCGAGTCTAGCATTCTAAAAGTCCACCACCCAGGTCCGAAGCACAAGCAACAGAACATTCTATACGGTAATGTAGGTGCAGCAGTGCTTTTGACTTACACTTCTACACTGACCCCGCAAGCTTGAATTCACCTGAGCCACGGCAATCGTCCCTCAGCAGAGGTGATCCATAATACAGAGTCGCAAGCCAGACCTAGTTGCAGGCACATGGTGCCCACCCCAATGGGATTGAGCATGCTAGCCGCCTTCGAAGAATTGGATGCGCAGTACCTTGGCTACCGGCTACAGACTCTGGGCAATTCAATCAAGGGTCCAGGATTCAGTCTTTTAGGTGTTGCGCCCTGTCTCCTCTCACAGGTATCTGCATTCCCCATAACTCGTGGGCTACAGTCTGGGAACTACCAGACACAGGGATGAGTGTTTCGGTTTTAGGGATGAGCATGTGCCAAGTCTGAACTGGTGATTTCCCCAAGTAAGGGGACCCCAATATAGACCCCAAAATAGTATACTCCTTATTATAGAACCCCCAAACGTGGTATCCCTAATTCTGGGAACCCCCCGAAAACTAAATCAGCCTTGCGGCCCTTGCGACCGCGCAGGCTGCGTAATCACTGACCGATTCCACAATCTTCAAAGGAAAGTACATCAGCTCCGATTTAGGCTTGTGTGTTGTCTAAGGCTGTGCCGCCCTCCGATCAGGGCCTTCATGGAGAAGCAGGCGTGAGAAGTTTTGTTTGATGAGCGGCAGGTTTCCATGTTGCATAGTCGGATCTACTATGACAAGCCCCAGGTGGCCCAGATTGCTGAAGGCTTACTAGACAAGCCAGACGTCGTGGCGCAAAACTTGGACCTGTGCCAGGGCTTCTAATTTTGCGTCGTAGCCTTCGAAGACCCTTTCCTGGCTTTTGCCATTGCTGTGGGTGCGTGCTGTCTCTCCAGTTGGCCTGAATGATGGCAATGACAGATATTGTTGCGTGCTGCCGCTGACTGTTTTTCGCTCGGGCATCTGTCACCAGTGCCAAGCCCAGGTTTTATTCAAAGTTTGTGCGGTTTCGTGCTACTTGGCAGCATTGCAGTAGGCATGAACATTCTCCCGTCACAGCTGCCGCTCCTCCTCCTCATCATCCTTATTCATGCTGCCAGTAATATTACAAATCGTGGTGGCTGTGGCGATGGTGGTGGTGGTGGCGGCAGTGGGACGTTGTTGTCAGTAGTTTTTAGCAGTAGTGGAGGCTGGAGAGAAATTTTGCTATGACTACGTACTAGTCCTTGCAGACCCATATTGGCGGCACAAGTGAAGACCTGTGCTGGGCAGTTTGTTTGCTACAGCCTCTTGCCTAAGACCCGCATAAGCTCAAAACGCATCAGACGAGCTGTCGGGACAAACATATCAGCCGGTAGTGATTGTATTGAGTCTAGCAACAGGCATAGCAGCAGCTCAAGGCGATCAGCCGTAGCGGATGAGAGAGAGCACTTTGCTACTTGCGTAAATGCGGCGCGCTTCTACTCAGAATTCGACTGCTGGAGTTGGAGGTGTTTTGCAGATGGGGCTGTTGCAGCAGTAGCCACTTTCCAATGGACGATGGTCTCTTTTTAGGCAGGAGTTTGGTTCCTTTGTGGTTTACTAGGGACAGTTCATTGTGCCATGTTGAAGCTACAACATCGCACAGGTTGGAAATAAGACCATACTGTTCTGTATGTAGGCCTAGCTGAAATATGAATGATGCTAGCAGGGCATTTTGAGCAGTCGCTACTTGCTTCAGAAAAGGTCATACCTTGGTCAAGCCACCATAAGGTATTGGCTTAGTATGTGGCGGCTTTCTTTTGCAGTTTCCTGTCTGGGCACACTTCAGAAAACAGCTGGGAGCGCTGTTTTCAACAAAGACGAAGTTGGCCTCAGCCAGGTGGTAGTGGGTGAAAGGGCAGTGGAGACTCCACAACGCCTTGACATCTTCAAGCTTATCCAAGCCTGTCCCATCAGCCTACATCTAGGAGAACATCAGCTCTCTTGATCGCTTCTTCATGCGCAAAGACCAGATCGGGCAATCCTGGTCAGGCTCGCTGCTTCGACAATCAGTTTTTCCTTAGTGGTGCTTGGCGTTCCAGATTATTGGGTTCTCTTGCTGACAGTAAGACAGCATAGATTTGTTATTGAAGGTAAGTGCGAATACTACCCGTACTCTAATCCCCTCCTTGGCACCTACCGTTATAAGTAGTCAACTTTTCTCAGCATCAGAGAGCGCTCTCATTCATGTGGTTTACATTCCGTTGTCGGCAGGAGGCGGCCAGAAGCGCCAAGGATCCTCGTCTGCGGCATCAATGCTCACAAATTGGCTTAAACAGGCTAATCTTGCTGGCTTGAAAGATGATGGCCCCCCTTACCTAGATAGAATATGGAACTATGCTCCAGCCTTAGCCCCATGGTTTCCCTTAAGCAGATAGAATAATTATGAGGTATACAGGGATCTTACTATGATATTGGGCAATTCCACAGTTTGTCTACTTAAGGGGGACCAGAAGGCTTAGGCTGGAGAATTTTGGCGCCTAGGCCCGACTTGTATAGACCAAAGGCAAAATCCGAGATGTCCTGGGATCGCCGTAGTTTGGCATATGTGCATGTATGGGTTTGCATGCTGCAATGCTTCCACAATATGGTGACAACTGGAGCTACGTTCATTCACGTCGGATGCGGCCTTTGCGATCAGCTACAGCAAGTAGGTAGAAAACGGAACTCCAAAGCAAACAAGAAGGCCTACTTTCCCCAACTAGCAAGAAGCAGGCTCAGCCGGACTTCATGTCAGGGTTTTTGTGTTGGAAACATGAATTGACCCCAGGCGAAAGCTGGGATGGCGAACGCAAATGGCAGAAAGGGGATAGTAAAGGAGGTGTTGCTGGCGGAGGCGGGCGAGAGATTCCGCCTTGTCCAGGAATGCTTGGGCTGTGACTTGAGCCATAATTCAGTTCAGATCTAGGCAGGCAAGCAGGACGTAAATGTACATATTTGGCATAGTATGTCTTGATTGCCCCAGACCTGGTTTTGCAGGTTAGCATGTTCCTGAGAGTGCAGGCGCCATACAACACTAACAGGAACGGCCATTATGTTGTCAGGGTTGCTTCAGCATGTTCCAGGTTACCGGAATAGTCTTGTTCAGAGTCCTGGTGCCACGTCTGCACCTGCTGCTGCAGAAGTGCGGCTGTTGCGTTTCTATCAATTCAATGACAGCTTCCCATCTTGTTTGTTTGCATCAGTGGCTGTGCAGTGGGGATAGCATCTCTCTGCAGCGCGCTGGGTTACAGCAGGATGCCGGCCATGCAGCCCAGAAGCCCAAAGACATCTGCCGCGATTGAATTTTGTTGGACTCCAAGAGTATCTTGTACAAAGGGCAAAACGAGGTCTTCAGGTGAATCTGCAAGGATGCTTCGCTCCGGCTACTCTCCATCCATGAGCAGTACTGCGATGCGCAGCTATGGATGGTGAAGCTCAATACCCTTCTGCCACAACCTCTCCATCTATGTGCGGCTGCAGGTAAGAAGTATGGCAATTCTGGAAAGGGCAAGGGCGGCAAGAAGTAGACCACAGAGGCCGGCGGGCAGCAGGGTAATGAGGAAGTCGCAGGTAGCCACAACTGTGCGATGTATGGCAACCATTACCTGCAATTAAAGTCTTGAGCCGAATGCTAGCGAATTTTGAAGGGACGATTGGAACATGTTGCGATGTGGTTGTCCGGTGATATTTGTTGGAGGCAGGTGTTAATCACTCTCATCACAAGTAGTAGAAATAAGTGCATTTGGCACGCTATGCGCAACATGGTGCAGCAAAATCAGACTGCATGAGCCGCAGAATGTACCTGGAGGCTTCATCTTCCAGAGCATTGCTGAGGGTCGACGTGTTCGAGGCCATGCAGAGCTTTGCAAGCAAAGCAAGGGTGAACGCAAATCCTGCGCACCAGCTGTTCAGCATTTCTGGTTTTGGTGACTTAGCCCGTGGTGAAGCTGCAGAACGATCTGTGAACACGTTCTGGGACAGGATAGGCCACCACTGTTGGATGGGCGTACTTACGCGTGTTTAAAGCATGGTTTGCCAGGTCCCAGGCACACTTGTGAGTGCAGAGCGGCATTTGCCGCCTGTCAGCTGACAGCAACAAGAGGGACACGGTCATCTTCAAGAGCTTCCTGTCAGTTAGTGGATCTGACGTGGGGCGTCCCCCACAGAAGCTCACCAATATGATGGGCCGTGCTTTTGCTGCCCTGTACATACTTGAGCCTGATCTCGCCAACTGGACGGCCAAAGCAGCTGTTGGAGCAAATCCGCTCTGTGCCCAGCAATATTTCGTTTGCATTAGCAGCAGCGAGCAGGATGCACAAAAGCTGCCACGAGCAGGAGTACACCTCGAGACTTTCTTGTCAATAGGTTGGTGAACAGTCTAAGATTTGTCCCTGTCTTCAAGCTTTTCGCAAGCTTGACTCCCTGCGGCAGGTTTCAATCGGCTTGAGCATAATTTCAATGTGAGCATATTTCCTCTCCATTACTGCCTCCAGCCATAGTGCAAGCACTGCTGGATCGACCCTTGTCGCCCCCGTCCCCACTAGCATGATCTGAATCCATCCTTTCATCTTCAGTTCCTTCACCGAAGTTCTCGTTCAGCTCGGATTTCTTGAGCTTTTGCCTTGAGAAGCCCCAGCCTACTTGCTCCCGGCCATTGCAAGATTCGGTGTGTTGAAAGTACGTTTCCCGGACGTGGAGCGCGGCTGGCAAGCAGCTGCCTCACCAGCCCTGAGCCCTAACACTCCCAAACCCATGATCCCTTTTCCTGCATCCTGAGCCTGAATGAGAAACCTAAATCCTAAGCTACACTATATAACCCATTGGGGTAATATCATGGTTATATAGGGGTTATATAGGGATAATGGAAAGAAAACGGAAACTACTAGAGTATAATCTAGCACAGATCCTAAGCCCTCAACCCCTAAACCCTACACAGATCCTAAACCAACCCGGCTGGGTGGCCGTGAGCCATGGATGGCAGCGTGGCAGCAATCCCATCACCCAGGGGAAGCCTTCAGCGCTTCAGCTTAATCTGGGTTGCTGTTAAGGAACTTAAATTAAGTTACCATAATGGGCTATAATGGAGAATCAAATGGAAAAGAAAATGGAAAATGACATGGAAACTGGGGTAATATAGGGAGTTAAGGAACTTAAATTAAGTTACCATAATGGGTATATATAGTAAATAATAGGGTCTCCCCAATATGGTAGCTTAATTTAAGTTTTTTAACAGCAACCCAGTAATTTCAGGCCTGCAGTGGATAGGCAGAGAGAATACAATTGTATTTGTATTACTACAGTAATGGAACAAGGAAATGGATACTACGGTATTATAACAGGGTATATGTATACGTATTTATTGGGGTTTAAAAGGGGGGGTTATATAGGGAGGGAGTGACCCCAATGAAGAAGAATCATGTTTGGGGATATACAGCGCTAATAAGGGAGAATCACATGGAAAAAGGGGGAAATCCTGAGATTAGATAGGCAAGGTATGTTCATGTTGGCTCCCTCGCACACTTTCAAGCACGAAGGTTTCTCATCAAGTCTTGGTTGGGTTGTATAAATGTGTTTTGAGAAGAGCTGGCGACCAGTTTTGATTGTTCATGACGCGGCTACAGTGCCTCAGGGCCAAGTTTCCTGTAGCTGCAGCAGTGTATGGGTGATTCATACCGTTGTCGCCTCATGGCCTTGAGGAACGCATCCTTCAGCTGCCCTCCACAGCCTCTACATCGACTCGCCGGCGAAGCTAAGTTGCCATCAGGCTTTTACTCGCCGGTGCTCAAGGGCGAGCAACTCTGGGTAGTCTTGGGACATGCAGCTCTCATGTCAGGATTCACTCCCCGATTTATCAGTAAGTATAGGCTGGGCAGTGAGGTCTACATGAGCAACCAGCAAAAAATCCTTGACGTGAGTATGTCTTGAGTGGACATGAGCTTCCTAATTTCACCACATAGGACGATACCGCCAGATGGTCATGTTGATTCTTCATGACTGACCAAACGGTACAACTATGGGTAGCCACCAAACCGTTTGTAAGCAAGCTTTGTAAGAATTGCCATTCTGGCAAAAGCCGTGTAGCACAATAGTTAGGACCCACTTGAACAAAGATAATGAGGGCCCAGCTGGATTTCATCAAGTTCCTGCTTAGCTGTAGTATCCCTGAACAGCATTTGTTAGCAAATCAGGAGTGGCGACTCTTTGTAAATTCCGGAAATGTGCGAGACATCATCATCAGAGCCTTGGCGGTATTCTTCTGGTGGGATGACGAGAATGGAGACTAAAGGCCTCACGAGAATCTCAGGATCTGAAGAAACCAGAAATCCTTGAACCTGAAGGCCCAAAATGGGCACCTCAGGAGGCAAAATCCCAGATACAGCAACACTTACAGAGTTTCAAGATTCTTCACTTGGGGTGTCTCCACCTCGTCTGCCGCGAAACAGCTCTGCACCACCCTCAACCTTGAAGCCCGAAACCTAGCTACTGGATGCTACTGGACTGCAGGACTAGAAGCCTGGCTCCCTTGTTCAGGTCTGCCTCTTAGTTTTACATGGGTTCTACATTGGGGTTATATAGGGCTAATGGAGAATCAAATGGAAAATCAAATGGACAATGAAATGGAAACTGGCTAACTCATGACGAGCCCACTGGGCTGAACAATGACTCACTGTCATGCAGACCATAGGGCTCCTGATTAGGCATATTCGGCTTCTTTTCAGGAGACGGACCCTGCAAAAGTCTCCGGCACCTGAAAGTCCTTATTTCATTTAAAGGGCCCCTTGAGGAGACCATCCCAAACCCCGATATGGGTACTAGCGGTCCCCCTTAAATGCCCCACTAGATTTCTTCTTATCCTCGCCCACGTTACCCGTTTACCATTAGAAACGCGGCATAAGTAAATCACACAAAAAGATCCCCACGGACCGATTCAAGGCTCTCAGGCGCACTATGCGGCTGAGCTCAGGGCAGCAGCCCTCCCAGCCGGGGCGGCAAAGCCGCCCTCCTCCCCGCCCCGGGGCTCACTTCAGGGGGATTGACAAGAATTTGAAGATCCAGATCGGGCGTGGGTTGGTGGTGCTAATGTTTCTGGATGGCTCTGCTCCTCTCTCTTTTTGGTGGCGTGCTAGCATGGAGGAGCTTGGAGCAGGGTTTGCAGACCCTTGTTTGCAATGGCTTCGGGTCAGCTGCAGTAGCAATAGGATATGATGGATCGTTTTCGGCATATTGCGAACAGTTGTGCTTGCAAACTCCGCATGTGCTGTGTGGTCCAGGCTTTGGAGGTTCAGGGGACGGGGGCTTCTGTGCCAAGATTCGGGACAGACAGTTGTCAGGGCTCTGAGAAATTTATTCGACTGTTAGACTTTGGGAGCTCAGGAGACGCATGCTCAGCCGTGAATTTCGTAGGGCAGTGAAGCTGAGCTTTGGCAGGGGTTGGCAGCTTTTCATGGCATTTGCAGTTGATTCGCGTCAGGCGTGTGGGGCTGATAGTTCGGCTTGTGAGCGGGAAGCTCCGAGTGTTGCAGGCATCGAGGATTTTCCTCTAGCTGCCCTTGTGGACAACTGCGGGTTCACAGCTGCAACATTTGGGCTCGCGCATATGCAGTCCGATACTTGTTGACATCCCGGCACTTCAAGGTTTCAAGCGCTGCGCAGGCACGTGCCTGGCATTTTCACAATCTAAGGCTCCTCAGGCGCTTCAACACGACTGGCCTCTATGCAAAGATCTTTGGCTGAACCAGCTGCCTTGAGGGCAGGATCCTTTGGGGTAGTTGCACTGGCACTGGGAAGTTTATTTTCAAGCAGAAAAGGGACACTTGAAAACACAGTATGGCGGACCCTGAAAGCTCCAGAACGGAAAACTCATGCGTTTGCCCTGCACAGATCTCAAGCTTAAGGTACACGGAGACTGCGTGGGAAGTGCTACTGCCTGCGCTTGATTACGAAAGCGCCGATGACACGGCAAAGGCCAGTGTTGCTAGGATGCGTCCTGTCAAATGGATACCCTGTCAAGCTCACAGGAATAAAGAAACACACACACACACATTAAGGTGCGCCAACAAATTTGCCAGCCTTGAGATGCTCGCCATATGCAAAAACTTTAGCTGGCCCGAGCCCCAATCTCAGAAGCTGAACCTTAGCAACAGCTGGACGATGAGGCCCTCGCAGCACCTAGAAGTAGTAGTGGGAGGAGTAGCAGTGGCAGGACAAAGTGGGAGTAACAGGAACACAGCTACCAAGCAGTTCGTGAAGCAATGGCTCGGCCACGTGCAAGCACGGCAGTCTTTGAGTCGTTGAGAAGCGCTGCAGGGAAATCTCGGGGCATGTTAGGACACCTGCAAGCAAGTCCGAAGGCTATCTACTAAGAGACCTTGTCTACACAAGCAAGACTTCTCCAGCCCAGTAAAGATACTTCGACAGACCTACCCCAAATCCTACAAGTAGAAGCATTGCGTGAAACAGCAACTCCTGGCAAGACCGTGTACGAATTAGTGATTGCAGGACTCGGACAGTACCTATGCTTGTCTGT